CCCTCGCCACCCTACTTAGGATTAAGCGTGTTAGAAAATGGATGTATGGATGTAAACAGAGTTTTGTGGGGCCCCCAGGAACTTGGGGCCCTAGGCAACTGCCTAGTATTGCCTAATGCTAAATCCCCCTGGCTGGTGTTTTATCCCTGATGAAGGGGATGGATCAGAGCTCCACCTAAAGGCTTCCCTCAGGTGTTTCCTTTCTGGCAATGGTGTAACGACACAACAATAGGCCCGTTAGCAACATTATCTAGATGGACATGAAGTACAACAGGTGATAACGGTTCAGGATACGGCAACGGTTCCATTTTTCGCCCAAGAAGATACAATTATGCAATTCTCAGTAGTATATGATCACACATGGAAATATAGTGACTGCGCACCTTGAATGGAACCATGGGTGACAGCGCATCACCACATGTTAGCCCAACAAGCCATGGGGCTACCTTCAGCTTCACCGCTCCCCTCCTCACCCACGCTCTCTCCATTGATTTCCTGGTTGCCATCTTTACTCCCTGCAACGTCCTCCTCTCCCTCCCTGGTTCTTTGAAAGAACATGTTTATTTGGGGAAGTTTTTTCCGTTCTTCCAGCAGCTCTTCTTTCCTTTTTCTTTTCTGGAATCTTGAATTTTTCGCACCATTACATCTGCAAAGAGATGTCCTAGTCTGCAATTTCGTAAGGGGCCCACCAGGTGTCAGTGATGGGGTCCCTAAGAGGTCGTGGGCCTGAAAGAAACTGATGTCTCTGCTTACCGATATTTATTGCTTCCTGGTACCTCCACTCTCCACCCGCGGATCAGGATGAATGGATCTCTGGTTCTGGTGGAAAAGGTTTTTAGTGTCTGCAGATGATGATCTTCTGGGACATCGATGTCTCCCTCACCTCCAGAAGCTTCAGGATCCGACTAAAGTCTGAATCTGTGTTTCAGGTGATAATCATGGCCTGCAGGGAGATCGAGATGGGGAAGGTAGAGCCTTTCTCCCTTTCTTTTGTCTTCTGCTTTTCTTTGAACATATTGACTATTTTTTTATTTCCAATCACGAAGCTCAGTGGAATGAAATAGCTTCTAATAGTGACGGTTCTGTTTTTGGTTCTGGGCTTTCTCTGCAGAAAAAGTGTGAGTCCTACTGGGCAGCTCCTCATCAGTCTGCAGCATTCGGACCTTTTACCGTAACTTCTGTAAGAACCCAGAACTGTCTGACCTCCTTCTGATCTACTCCTGATCAGAACCTAACATGTTGTCCCTGTAACCATCCAGGAGGCGGAGTCCCGACCCAATGAGGACGTTGTGGTCAGAACTCTGACTGTCAGCTATCAGCAGGTGGGAGCCCACTTCCGTTCACTTTTAACGAGAGTCAGATCACACCCTCATCCCCTGTCCTCCTCTGTCCTCTGCAGGACGTCCGTTCAGTGGTTCAGTTCCAATACTTATCCTGGCCGGACCACGACGTCCCCTATGAGAACGCAGGCGTTCTGGACCTGCTGGAGCGAGCAAGGAGCAGCCGAGGAGGTGATACCGCCCCTGTTCTGGTCCACTGCAGGTAAGGACAGAGACAATAAGACATACTGAGAGACAAACCCAGAGACAATGAGACAAAGCAAGAGATGATGAGACACACTGAGAGACAATAAGACATACTGAGAGACAATGAGACAAACCCAGAGACAATGAGACACACTGAGAGACAATAAGACAAACCAAGAGACAATAAAGCATTCTAAGAGACACTGAGAGACAATGAGGCAAACCAAGAGACAAAGAGACACACTGAGAGACAAGGAGAAAAACCAAGAGATGATGAGACACACTGAGAGACAAAGAGACACACTGAGACACAAGGAGACACACCGAGAGACAAGGAGACACACTGAGAGACAATGAGAGACAATGAGACAATAAGACAAACCGAGAGACAATGAGACAAACCGAGGGACAATGAGACAAACCAAAAGACAATAAAGCATTTTAAGAGACAACGAGAGACAATGAGACAAACCCAGAGACAATGAGACACACTGAGAGACAATGAGACAAACCAAGAGATTTTGAGACACAAGGAGACACACCGAGAGACAATGAGACAAACCGAGAGACAATGAGACAAACCGAGAGATTTTGAGAAACACTGAGAGACAAAGAGACATTCTGAGACACAATGAGACAAACCAAGAGATTTTGAGACACACTGAGAGACAAAGAGACATTCTGAGACACAATGAGACACACTGAGAGACAATGAGACACACTGAGAGACAACGAGACACACTGAGAGACAATGAGACAAACCAAGAGACAACGAGACAAACCAAGAGACACAACGAGAGACACTGAGAGACAATGAAACAAACCAAGAGACAATGATACAAACCGAGAGACAAAGAGATATTCTGAGACACAACGAGACACACTGAGAGACAACGAGAGACAATGAGAGACACTGAGAGACAATGAGGCAAAGTGAGAGACTCTCAGAGACACGTGGTGTCGCCCTCTAATCGGTGCTTAGTTTCACATCATCTGTGCAGCTTGTTTGTGCCAACAGCTCTGATCACAGGTCAGCTGGTCATTAACATTCATCAGGAGCCCCCCCCCCCCACAGCCAGCCAACGCTCAGAGAGCAGGAGGCTGTGAATATGCAGCAGGTAACACCTGCTATCGATGGCACGGCTAACATGCTCACTGCATCTGCTGCTGTGTGTTTCAGTGCGGGCTGTGGGAGGACAGGAGTCATCTGTGCTCTCGACTACATCTATGACCTTCTGGTTACCAAGGTAACGCACGTCAACAAGATCGTATTCTATTCCTTAGCTAGTTCTGATAAACATCTCTGGATAAAGAGCAGAAGCTCTGGAAGCAGATGGGCCCTTCAGGAGGAAGCACATGATGATGATGAAGATCAGAAACGAGGACAGCTGTCAGCTTTTAAAATGATGGGTCTGTTTGTTGTCCTGTTCCTTCTGCAGCGGATCTCCCAAGACTTCAGCATCCTGAGCATTGTCCTGGAACTCCGCAGACAAAGACCCTCTGCTGTGCAGACCAAAGTAGGTGCCCTCAGTCCAGACCATCATCTGCAGCACTTCCACACACTTCCCTGGAATTACAACATTTTCTTCCCGTTATTCGTAGTAATATGTCCGCAGGTCTGCAACCTCTTCCAGTTTTATAAATTCTCCAGCAGTTTTTAGTCCAGCAGCTGCACAGCCCTGTTCCACTTTGCACATGTGGTTTATCGATAGTGATCCTGAATGCAGCATTTATTGGGGGAATAATAATGAACACAGTCAGATAAACACAAATCAAATGAACATTTTGCCAAATAAAACAAAAAAAAACTCCATCATAGCCGGCGGTCCTTCACACATGGCTATGCAGGGAGAGGGCTGCTGCAGGCGGGCTAACGTTAGCCCTGGCCGCTGCAGGCGGGCTAACGTTAGCCCTGGCCGCTGCAGCAGGGTTGTAGCCCTGGCTGCTGCAGACGGGTTAACATTAGCCCTGGCTGCTGCAGACGGGTTAATGTTAGCCCTGGCTGCTGCAGGCGTGGTAAACGTTAGCCCCGGCTGCTGCAGACGGCTAACATTAGCCCTGGCCGCTGCAGATGGGCTAACATTAGCCCTGGCTGCTGCAGACGGGTTAACGTTAGCCCTGGCCGCTGCAGACGGGCTAACGTTAGCCCTGGCCGCTGCAGATGGGCTAACATTAGCCCTGGCTGCTGCAGACGGGCTAACGTTAGCCCTGGCTGCTGCAGGCGGGCTAACTTTAGCCCTGGCTGCTGCAGACGGGCTAACATTAGCCCCATACAAGTAAGCATAATGAGAAATTGTTTTTGGATAAGCTAGATGCCACGACTGAAGAGTAACTTTCACTTAACGTATGTCAACGATCAGATAACTTACCTGGAACTTATGGCCCACGTATGGATGGCCAACGCTTGCATACGTCGGGACGTACTGTCCGTATGATGATGTGTTTCAGCGTACTTATCCAACGTATGCATGCTTTTTTGCCAGATTGTTCGTACATCAGGCATACGCTGATCTAAATCGTCAAGGTGTGACAGGGCCATTACAGTCCACTTATATTGGGTGAATTTCAGCACATATTCAGGTTTTAGAAATTTACTTAGAAGGACCTAGAAAAAAGCTATCTCAGGTTTCAGGTCTCAGAAAAATATTGTCAGGTCTCTGGGAAGAAGTTTAATAATAAGCTAATTTCTAAAATCTGATTGAGCTTTTTTTCCAAACACTTGTTTTTCTGGGACCTGAAGAAGTCCTGAAATGAACCCTTTACACAACGCTCTACCAGCTGAAAGTGTTGACATTATCTGTGAGGCCATCCCTCAGTTTATACCTGCATCATCTCTGCAGGATCAATATCGCTTCATCTTCACCGCAGTCGCCAGCATGTTTGAACGCTTCCTGCAGACATCTGATGACGGCCTCTACTGCAACCTGTCTGAGGTAAAACACAGTGATGTCCCAGAGCATGCAACACAGGAGGAAGTCCTCTCAAAGCAGTGCGGAAAGAAGAAGTGCTTCGACTAACTTCCTGTATGGAAATTCAGAGCTGCAGCTTGACTGTTAGTTGTTCCGATCGCAGAGAGACATTAGAAGAGAGGATTTGAGAAACGAGAGCAGATGTAGGACGACCCCTGACAGGTAGGCTCTGCTGGCTGATCGTTTCTGCTCCTTTTTCTGTTCATGTGTCTGAGGAACGTCTGACAGGTCGGCATGGCAACGCTTGGTTACTCAATCAAAAAGAAGGATCATTCTGAATTCATCTCAGTCGTTTTGAAAAGCCGTTTCTTTCTAACCATGAGGTCTTTCAGATGCGCTCTTATCTACACAAAACAGAGTAGGAGAACTGGTTTGGTGAGCCTCGCCATTTGAGGCGAGAGGCTCCATGCTGTCTGGGACAGACATTGAGGGAAATTTTTTTTTTTTTTTTTCCAAATTGGTTTCCACTTCTTGGAACGCATGTTTGTTGGCACTGAGGTCAGATGGTTCCAGAAAGCAGAATGAACCAGCATGAATTTTCACTAAGCGTAATGATGACTTCAAATTCTGCTAATCTCACACAACCACGACCATCTCCAGGCCAGACATCAGGTTCTTCTCTCTTCAGCGTCTAATCATGACCTTCTAAAGTTCATGGCAGCTTGTAGAACCACGGTAGATGGTTTAGGTTCTGTCTGGTTTAACTCCATCCACCCATTTCCTTCCGCTTTATCCTGGGGCCGGGTCATGGAGGCAGCAGTCTAAGCAGAGATGCCCAGCCTTCCTGATCCACACACACCTTCACCAGCTGCTCTGGGGGGACCCTGAGGGGGACACCAGGCCAGCTCAGAGACAGTCTCTCCAGCGTGTCCTGGGCCTTCCACCAGGCCTCCTCCTAATGGGACATGCCTGGAACACCTCCTGAGGGAGGCGACCAGAAGGCATCCGGAACAGATGCCTGAGCCTCTTCAGTTGGCTCCTTTCGACGTGGAGGAGCAGCGACTCTACTCTGAGTTCCTCCTGGGTAACTGAGCTCCTCACCCAATCTGGAAGGGTGCGCCCAGCCACCCTGCGTAGGAAACTCATTTCTACCACTTGTATTCGCAATCTTGTCCTTTCGGTCATTACCCAGATCTCATGACCATGAGGGTGGGAGCGGTAGCCTCGTGAGACCATCCTGATCTCGCGAGCTTTCAAGGTTTCACTCGCAGATCAGTCTGGAGACTCTCCGTTAAAGAAAATTTGGAGCCGTTCACCAAACGAACGTCCAATCAGCGTTGGCTTTGAGGCGGGTTGAGGTGTGACGCAACGAGAAGCGCGACAGTTCAGTCTAAAGAACATGGCGGCTTCAGCCGATGAAACTAGCGTTAGCGTGGCTATCGAGCAAGTTTTATCGGAATTACAGAGTATTTCTTCACTGAAAGAAGAGCAAAACACTGCTCTGGAGGCTTTTCTCAGAGGAAAAGATGTTTTTGCTCTTCTCCCGACTGGTTTCGGCAAGAGTTTGATCTATCAATTGACTCCTCTTCGTCATCGCTCTGTTAGTACGTCATATGCTTCGTTGATCTTCGTTGATTTGGCCCGTCTATCACCAACATAGGCCAATCAGCTAACCAGTATTTTCGCCCCTTCCCAAAATTACTTCTACGGAAGGTTTCCAGATGGATATGCGGAGCAAATCCATCTGGTGGAGTCAGGTTAGTGGGAACGTAGATCGATCGGTAAATTGAGAGCTTTGCTCCCTCGGCTCAGCTCCCTCTTCACCACGACAGGCCGATACAGCGACCGCATCACTGCCGACATCTGTCGATTTCATGCTCCATCCGTCCCTCACTCGTGAACAAGACCCCTAAATACTTGAACTCCTCCACTTGAGACGAAGACTCTCCACCGACCTGAAGAGGGGAGTCCACCTTTCTCCTGTGGAGAACCATGGCTTCAGATTTGGAGGTGATCCTCATCCTGGCCGCTTTACTCTCGGCTGCAAACGGCCCCAGTGCACGTCGGAGGGCCTGGTTTGATGAGGCCAACAGGACAACATCATCTGCAAACAGCAGAGGTGATATCCTGAGGTTCCCCAAACCGGACATCCTCTGGTCCCTGGCTGTGCCTAGAAATTCTGTCCATTAATGTAATGAACAGAACCGGTGACAAACGGCATCTGTTGGTCATTGTTGGCAGACATCTTCTTCTGAGCAGTCCTCTGGTCTGGTTGGAATCTGGAGTATGACAAGATCATTTATTTATCTGGTTTTTATTTTGCTTCATTGTTCCGTTGTTGCCTAACTTTGACCGAGCTTCAGATAATTTCACATCTATTTTTGTTTGACAGCTGCTAGGAGATGCTTGCGCTGTGTTTGGTTTCCTAGCAACATTGTCTGACATGGTGTCCAGAGGACGTTTTCCTAGGAGTCCTGAGCTTCATCCAGATGCAACCTTGTTAACTCCTGCTGCTACGTTGTTTTTAGGGAGAAAGTTTTCCTTAGTCTGCCCTCCTCAAGTCTGGTGGGGGGGTTAGGCCTTCAACGTTCATGATCCTTTCTCTAGATTTATAGCTTAACCTTGTCTTATGTTGGTGAACGTTGCAGAGTGTGGCATTTCAACTATGCAACTGACAGCTGGCTGTACTTCTAGGGATGCATGATATATGATATTTTTTTCATGCATTGATGTTTTGGGCCTGGTAATGCACTAAAGGGCATCTTTCTAACATCTATAAATATAAATATCAGTGTGTTGTTGTCTTGTGTTCTCAAAAATAGGAAAGCATTCAATAAATATACGTTTGACCTCATTTTTGGAAAATTAGCCTAATGAAAGTCTAACTGTAGGTCCATGAGCCTCCACCCGAGTGTCCCCACCAACTTTCATCACAAAGTTAAACCTTTGCGGTGACGGTAGCCTGGACACCGGCGGGTGGTAAGGCAGGCGGGTGGAAGCATGCCGTCACCGGGTTGGGTTCGTTTGCTCCGTCCCCGGCTGGCTCCCTGCCCCCGTACGCCGGGGTTACCGGACCAGACCCGGCGCTGATGGCTCGGTTCGAGTGCCCGGTCCAGCTAGTATTGCTATTCTTAGAATTAGCTAAAGTTAGCATTAGCTAGAGTTAGTATTATCTAGAGTTAGTATTATCTACTGTTAATATTAGCTAGAGTTAGTATTAGCTACTGTCAGTATTGGCTACTGTTAGCATTAGCTACAGTTAGTTTTAGCTACCGTTAGTATTGGCTAGTGTTAGCATTAGCTACTGTTAATATTAGCTAGAGTTAGTATTAGCTACTGTTGGTATTGGCTAGTGATAGCCTTAGCTACTGTTAGCATTAGCTAGAATTAGCATTAGCTACAGTTAGTTTTAGCTACCGTTAGTATTGGCTACTGTTAGCATTAGCTACTGTTAGTATTAGCTGGGTTAGTATTAGCCACTGTTGGTTTTGGCTAGTGATAGCGTTAGCTACTGTTATCATAACCTAGAGTTAGCATTAGCTACAGTTTCTTTTAGCTACCATTAGTATTGGCTACTGTTAGCATTAGCTACTGTTAATATTAGCTAGAGTTAGTATTAGCTACTGTTGGTATTGGCTAGTGATAGCGTTAGCTACTGTTAATATTAGATAGAGTTAGTATTGGCTACTCTTAGCATTAGCTCGTGATAGCGTTTGGTACTGTTAGCTGTCACTACCTGATCCATACCATCAGCTCATCTGTGCAACCAGATATAGATCTGGCTCACCCTTGATTTTACTTTCTAAAAAAGACTTAAATAGCTTTTTTCCCTCCCTAAATATAATAAGCATAATAAAGTACATGGTCTTAAAGGTTAATAATATATTTTCTGAGATAATAAATGCATTTAAATCCTTTCTGTTTCACCTCTCTTCTAGGATCCTATGCTAAGTTTTTCAGCTTTGGATTTAAACATAAATCTAATCTTTTTGAGTATCATTTTTTTTTATGTTAACATTGTGCTATATAGTGCGTAATCTAAACAAGGAAACAACTAAAATGCGGATAAACATGGTTTATTTAGCTGGTCTGATGATGACGTCAGAGAAGCTGTTTAACGGAGAAAATGTAAAAAGCATCAAATTGTCTCAGAAAAGTCATCTTTTAAAGATTTAGTTTAGCATTCTTTAGGGATTTAAGGATAGAACTAAGTACTTTTAGTAGATTGTGCTTCCGGTTCAGATCGGGTAGTGACAGCGAGTCTAAAAACAGCCAAACAAAGAGCAGCAAACTAAGCTGCTGTTGAGTTTGTCTCTACAAATCACACCTCTTTTTTTTTTTAAGGGCCTCGCTTACTAATTATAAAAAAAGATAAAAGATCTGTGTTCAGCGGTTTATAAAGTCTAAGAAACTGAAAGCAGTTCACAGTGCCTTCTGGCAATGACACAAACATGGTGCGAAGCTGCATCGTAACCACAGCTGTCCTGAGCGGCCGCCATGCAAGCAACGCAGGTGAGGTGTTTGGTTTAAGGAGACAATAACTGAGACGGACGGAGCATCCCTAATCCACTGATCCGATCCGACCCGACCCGATTAGATCAGGAACCAACAAACCAGGACGTTTGTTCCTCAGATCCAGAGGGTGAAACATTGTTTTTGTGGGAAGTGAAGCTGTTCTCTGCGCTTCAAGTTTCCACTGATTTCATAACAAACCTTCCAAGAAAAATCCAGAGATGGTTCAGAGTTTATCAAACACACACAGCAAAAAATGTCCATCTAAATAAGTCATGTTTTCTTCAAATTTGTCTTTTTTTTTTTTTCATTTGGGTTGTTGGTTTGGCGTTTTGCCATTGGACCAGGCCATTTACATTTAAAATAGTCTCATTTCAAGTGCATGTTATTTAATGATCTTATTTTAAGAGTAAAAATACTAATTCCATCGGCAAAACATCTTATTTACAGACTGATATTAAGAGTAAATACACAAAAGACATTAAAAACATTATTTTACTTATTTCCAAATCATTTTTGCAGCGCATGATCTCCTTATTGATTGGAAATGCGTTACTATGACAACAAAAGTGGGATATAAAGCAATACAAACATGAATAAATTATGTATAAAAACATTCAACAGAGTTTAATGGTTTTGGAAGAAATGTTGCAGAACCTGGAATTGAACAAATTTCTGTCCTGTCGTCTGCAGGTGACAAAAACAGAGAAGAGAACCTCGGCAGCAGCTTCATCGTCCGTCAACAGGTACAAACCAGCTGGTGGGGGGGGGGGGGGGGGTGCTCTTTGCACCGAGAGACAGACTGGCTGCTTCACCCCGAGGTGTTGAATTAACACTTTCTCACCCTCCTCTGTCAGGCGTCATCCCACCATCTCCATATGCTACCATGTTACTGTGGAAACCAGGCCATGGAGACGGGGGGGGGAGAGCTGAGGGAGGAAACGAGGGAGAACAGAGAAGGGAGAGTGGAGGTGGGAAGTGAGGAGAAAGAGGAAGTGTGAGCAGGAGAAAGTTGTAAAAATAAAAGTGAGGATCAGCGTTAGGAAACTCAGAGATCAGCCGTTCCTACCGGCGTGGGCCGTAACCATGACGATCGCTCAGCTGGAGGAGGAAGTGGAGAGTAGGTTAACTTCCTGTAGAGATGCAAATATTCAGCCGTTACAGAGACCAGGTGGTGTTGGTCTGGGACAGGAAACCACCTGGATGAAAAAACCAACATAAAACAATAAAATCTAGAGGCAGACAGATCTTCAAGAATGAATCCATGAAAGCTCAGCGGTGCGTCAGAGTCTAGGCGGCATGTTAGCAATGAAATAGGATTATATAAACACCAAGGTTCTATCAGTCAACAGACCCAAACCAGCAGTCCTACTGATACTACTACTATTAAGAATAATTATTCCAGATTCTACTTTAATCCACACGGTTTAACACATCGCACAGCACAGCTAGCAAGCAATGGATTATGTTTCCATCGCTCATATTAGAAAGAAATAGAAATGACACCATTTGCCAACCGTCACAAGTATGTGCATGACAAGGAAGGGCTATATATACTGCATGCATCATTTAGGGAATTGGATTACTTCTTTAGCTTCTGTAGTTATTAACTGTCACAGGTAGGATCTTCAGCCATAGAGTGAGTGTTGGGGCCGCTATGATTTCAGGAAGGACGGCCCTTGCACGCTGAAATTAGGACCGGTCCACCAGGCAAATGCCCGCTATCACAGATTAGCAGTCCGAGTCTGAGCAGAACTCTCCGACCCAGAGGAGAAGTCTCTGGGCTGGATTCACAGCAGACATGGAGATCCACACGCAGCTTTAAAACCTCCCCACATGGATGGAGACTGAGGAAGCTTCTGGGCTGAAAGCTTTAGACGGTGACAGGGAAGCGCCTGGTGTTCTGTCAGACCAGCATACCCATCAGACCAGCAAACCCATCAGACCAGCA